AAAAAAAAAATGAAAATGAATGGTTATGAATAAGGGCCTATAATCAAAGTTAAACCTTAGTAAATAATTACCAGCTTAGCTGTTACATAAATAAGGTAATTCTGAAATTTCTAATTATCTTCCCTGCTTTACCTTAAAGTAAAAATAAAATGTCTTAGGAAGTTGTAATTGTATTCCCTTATTCATAAATACAATTCAAGTTAGTTGCAAGTTCTCTTTCGTCATTTATAAGCTAACCTCTCCCAACTCTGCATAAATATGAAACTATCTCTATATTAAGCAATTAACAAAGGGTGATTCTTAAGATTAGTGGCTTCAGTGAACTGTCCCCCAGGTTTCTATTAGAAGTCAAGTTTGAAATCTAACTTCCCTCATTCTGTTTTTAAATTGTCAAATACCAATTTCTTCAAAAGAGAGCAGCCTTTGAAAATGAGTAATTAATATCTTTTGAAAGAATTGAGTTGACAATGAACACCTGCTGGGAGAATCAAAGGGAAGTGAGAGATTGAAGAGTTTTGTATACTTCTTTTATCTTCCTTCCTATCCCCAGGTATGGTTCCTGGCACAGGGACCTGATGGTTTGTCCAGATGAGGTCACCTTGTGCTCTTCCCCATGTCTTCCTGCCCTGTCTGCTTTAACACTGTTCTAAGCTAGAGGATGACAGAATCAGTGAATTCCTGGCCATGTTCTGTCTTTGTCCCCATCTCATTTGTTTTGTGCCATGCCTCTGCAATGCTTTCCAAAGCCTGTCTGTCCTTTGCTGACCTTGTTTTTGAAAACTCTGAGAACAACGCTACTAACAGCCCTGTCATTCTTGTAACACCAGAGTAACATAGAGCACTGCTGCTTCAGTCCTCTCTGCCTCTCTGCTTCCTCCAAGCTAGGGCTGACAAAACATCTGGAATAATCATGAGTGTCACATGTAAAGTTTCTTGAAAAATTGTCTGCCATTTCAGAGGTTTAAGATGCACTGGGGTGAAAAGTTCAGTTTTGCACATTATGGCTTTAAAACTCCACCTTATTATGTAGGTGTATGATTTCGGTTTTTTTAATTTTAAGATTTTGCTTTATTCCTAGCACTTGTGGTAGCTGTTCTGCGCTTCATACAACTGAAACCAAAGGTTTTAAACCCATGGCTGAATATTAGTGGATTGGTGGCGCTGTGCCTGGCTTCCTTTGGAATGACCTTACTTGGTAATTTTCAGGTACTCCACTTGGCCTTTTTCACCTCTCTCTCACTCTGGTAAGGCCTTCATTTGTATGATTATCGCATTCACTGAAGTATAGTTATTATGGCCCCTATCATTCTGCCTGAACCTTAAAAACAATTAGGAACATTGGTCCTAGTTTGCAAAGGTTCTCCAGCAGTCAGCCCAGATGGTCCTGGAGGCTGTTCTCATCACACACATGAGGCTATGCAGAAAAGTAGCTACTAGAAAAGCTGTATGTTTTCTACAAAGGATTTCAAAGTGGTTTATACTCTTTTTTCATAATAAATTGTATCCTAATGTGCCTTTCCAAAAAACTAATAAGATCATCTCCTGTTTATAATTAAACACTGATCAGCCTTATTTGATAAAGGTTTGCATTTCAGAGTAACAGGTTCATGTGGAAGTCATTTGAAAGGCCAGAATTTCCCTAGAACATCCATGACTGTGTAAATACATACTAACCCTAACTTTCTTCCTAGAAATTTAGAAGCCCGAGGTCACAACCCATAATACAATTTCCCTTGTCCTGAGTGATGTGACTTATTGTAATAGTTGACTGATTTCCTTGCTTCAGCTCCCTCTGCACCATCCTCCAGCCTAGGCCACATGTTCACGGCTACAAACTTTCTGTTGTTAGCAACCACTGATCCTGACCCTCTTCTCCCATCTGTTGAATGAAATCCACATGATGTAAGATCCCCAACATTCTAGTGAGCATTTAGTAATGTTCCTACTGAAAATATGGTAGTGGAATTTCTAACCCTCTCTCCAGCTCATTCATTAAGCCAGGATCACTTTCCCCAAGACTTCCCTTTGGCACACGTAACAACGAGCCAAGTGTTAAACCATAACTATACAAGTTCTAAGTAAGTTTTTTTTTTCTTGGCTTGATGAGTTGTTTGACAGGTAATTCCACAAATTCCTCATTCTAGATCCCATCTCATATTAAGTTAGACAATGAGAAAGCTGCATTCTTAGAACACAGGGGCTAGGGAAATTATTGTCAGGAGAATATTTAAGAGTTCATCCTGTTAAGATGCAAATGCTGGGTTACAGGGCATCATTCTTGAGCTCTTGGTGGGAGCCCATCCCTTACTTGCTGGCCTATGCTGCAGACACAGGCCTGGTATGCAGTGCTCAGTAACTGTGCTCTCCACCAGGGCTTGATGAGTTATTGAGTGCACATTTGGTTCTGTATTACAGTCCTAGAAGAATCCTAGAGGTGGGTTGCAAAGGTGAACCACAAATATTCAAAACTATGAATGATGACACCACATATGAAGAACACTTGCTGGAATATCTACAGGGAATACACAGGAAACAAATAACAAATTAATTACCTGTGGAGAAACCAGATGGCTGGTGTACGTGAGAAGACATACACTTTCCAATCAATACCCGTTTTTTTATACAATGTCTTTGGGGTTTGAACTCAGGGCCTCACGCTTGCTAGTCAGTGCTCTACCAGTTGAGACACTCTGCCAGCCCTTTTTCGTGTTGGATATTTTCAAGACAGGGTCTCAAGAACTATTTGCCAAGGATGGGTTTGAATTGCAGTCCTCCAATTCTCTGCCTCCTGAGTAGCTAGGATTACAGGCGTGAGCCACTGGTTCCTGGCACAGTACTCATTTTTAAATATTAACTATAAAAATTTCAACCATGTGACCACATTATCTACTCTTTAAATCATGTTAAAAAAAGATAATAAATGAAATAGATTATATACAGCATGGAAAGCCCAGTTCCTAGAAGTGAAACTTTTTTTTTTAAGTTTTTTTTCCTTTTTTTGCTTTTTCTTTTTCTTTTTTATTGTGCTGAGGGTAGAAGTGAAATTGAAATTTAATTTCAGGAACCTTTTTATTTTTGGTGGTAGTGCTGGGCTTTGAGCTAAGGGTCTCATCCTTGGTAGGCAAGTGCTCTACTGCTTGAGCCATGCCCTACCCTAAGGAATCATTTTAAAAAATGAATTTTGAAATTATGAGGGGGAAAATGGTTTCTTCAAAAAAAAAAGTTGGGGGGGGAATGGGATTCCTACAACCAAGAACAATAGAAAAAAAATTGAAGCCCACCATGGTGGTGCATGCCTGTAATCCCAGCACTTGGGAGGCTGAGGCAGGAGGATCACAAGTTCAAGGCTAGTCCATGAGACACTGTCTCAAAAAACAACACCCAAAAAAAGAAAGAAAGGAAAGAAGGAAGGAAGGAAAGAAGGGACGGGGGGAGGGAAGGAAGAAGAGGGGGAGGGAGGGAGGAAGGAAGGAAGGAAGGAAGGAAGGAAGGAAGGAAGGAAAAATTATAGTGGAAAAGCAATATTAACTTGATGCAACAGTTATTCACAACAATGTCAAACAACAAACCACCTGAAGGCAATGGTAATTTAAAAAGACAATATTTTCACCATAGTTTTAAAGCTATCTCTTGAACAGTTGATTTTATTTTCCTATATGTGCAATTAAAATCTATATAATTACAAAAGGAGTTTTAAATGATACAGTTTTAAAAATAAGTGGGTCATGATTTGGAAATTCTACATCTTTAACCCACAACTGAAATAACACAGTTGAGTCTCATTTACCCTACTGACTCTATAAAAGCTTCAACTGAATCTTCAAATAACATTGTCTTTAAGGGTCTCTAGATATGGCAAAACATATGGTGGCAGTTTTTCTTATTACTATAGGAAAACCAAACCCAAAGAATTCCCATTGATGGAGCTAGTGGAATAGCTCAAGTGGTAGAGCCCCTGCCCAGCAAGTGTGAGGCCCTGAGTTCAAACCCCAGTATCACCAAGAATTCCCATTAACAATGAATTGGTACTTCCCCTGACCCACCAGGAAAGGAGGCCAAGATGACATCGGCCCTCAGGTCACCCGGCCTGGTGGCAACATGGTCTTTGGGAAGATCACACACAAGGAAATTCCAGCCAAAATCATTTTTGAGGATGACCAGTGTCTTGCTTTTCATGACATTTTCCCTCTTGCACCATGATATGCAAGAAACATCTGACCCAGACTTCTGCAGCAGAAAGGGATGACCAAGTCTTCTCAGACACTCAATGATTGTTGAGAAAAAATGCGCCATTGATCCAGGCCTGATGAAGGATTACTGAATGGTGGTGAACGAAGGTGCAGAAGGGGATAATCTGTCTGTCATGTTTGTGTCCATGTTCTTGGAGATTGGCTGATGAATCGGCCTCCTGGTTAAGCATATTTATTTGGGTGATAATTTCCTCCTTTTCAGCAGTGATTAAGTTTGCAAGCTCCAATATGCTAAACAGTGCACTTATTTTGCCTATGGAGAAGTTGAATAAATAATTTATAATAATAATTTATTCAATAAATAATTTAAAAAGACATTGTTGCATGAACTTAAAAAAAAAAAAAAGCAATGGTTACAATTCAACAGGCCAGCTGTCCCAAGGGGTCAGAGTTGTCTGTCTATGCCAATTAAATCTTGACTTGCCCAGAATTGGCCATCTTCAGTTAGTAAATACACAGCCAGCTCCTCTATCTTATTTTCTTAGCTTGGAAAACAAAGTTTGGGATTCATGCCCATAGAAACTTTGACATTTCCTTTTTATGTAACTCCCCTGGTTTTTGCTTTTCCTTTCCCAAAAGCTTTTCTGGAAAGTAAATTCAAGGACTAGATCACTGCCACCTACATGGTTTTTCCAAGCAAATGTTTTTAGGGAACTATTTATTTCCTTTCTTCACTTCAGAGTTTGATTCATTTGAGAATAGACACAAAGAGCCAATGGAGATGAAGAACCTAATCCTTCTAAAACCTGTCAGTAAAACATTATCTCTGAATCTCAGAACTTAGCTGTCTCTTTTCCTATCTTCTCCCCTTCACATTGTACATCTTCTTTTCTAAATGGACTTCCATATGTCATTATCTGCCCATAGCTCACAAATGATGAAGAAATCCACAATGTGGGAACATCCTTGACCTTTGGATTTGGCACATTGACCTGCTGGATCCAGGCTGCGCTGACTCTCAAAGTCAACATCAAGAATGAAGGACGGAAGGTTGGAATTCCACGAGTTATTCTGTCAGCATCTATCACTCTCTGTGTAGTCCTCTGTATCCTTTGAATATGAAAAGGTTCTTTGACAGTGAGATTACACACAGATAAGTTGCCTATGTAGAAGATGAGACATTTGCCATTTCCAGTGGGTTAGGATAACCATAGATCATCTCAGAATTTTAAGACAAAGCAGAAAACTAAATGGGTATAAAAACCATAAAAAATGGTCTTTGATATAACCATTTTTTTCAAGCCAAGGAGAGATGGAGAGCTAATAAAACAAGTTCTGCCTTCTCAAAATTGTTTCCATCTGTAGGAAAGACGCCACACATACTTGTCTCACCAATGACGTGAAAGTTTCCTTTGTGAAAGACATAGGTACATAACGAAAAAAAGAACTGTGATTTTCTTCTCCGTCTTAAAAATTTTCATTTGTGACTTAAGTCCTATTTTGTCATATAATTTATTAGCTCTAAAATGAATTTCAGGGTACAAAGATGTTTATATTTTTCAGCAAAATAAACTTTTCTGGGAAAACAATTCAAGAACTAGATTATGCTGCATGTGTAGTTTTTCTAAACAAATACTTGCGGTTTAGGGTACTGTTCTTTTCCTCCCCTCAGAGTTTGAACCAATTGAGAACAGACATGAGGAGCCAGATGGGGGATGAAGAAATCAGCCTTTATTCCCAGTAAACTTGGAAGGAAAATGCTTCAGGCCCCATCTCCTGTACCCTGGAATTCAATTTATCTGCCCAGTAACAAGCAGAGAAACCAGGGAAAGGCAGAGCGCCTCACTTCCCACAACCCCAGACAAATCCCACAAAGATAGTCTAGTTAGGATGGAGTGCAGTGACCCCCACTTTCTGGTAGCATGGCCCCATAGAAACCTGCCAGTTCTGACCCCGCCAATCACATCACACAAGTGTGCTCTCCAATAGGTCCTCCTCAGCAAACCAGAGAAGAAAGGAATTAAGATTCCCAAGTGCATGGCTAATACAATTATGCGTCTTCAGTCACAGTAATCAACAATGTTCACTGAGCATTTACAATGTGTTAGACATTGTTCTAAGCACTTTAAATGAATCAACTCTTAATCCTCACTTAACAAATAAGACTAGGGACTCACAGGCAGGTTAATTTGCCCAAGATCACACAAATAGCATGTAGTGGATCAAGATTTAAACTTGAGCTCAGACACTGCACCGTCCCCCGTGGAAAAAGAGGTTTTAAAATATGACATTTGGCTCTCAGAGATTTTCTCTAGTTAGCACAGGGTTTGGAGTCTTTTATTTCTTCTTCCCTTACTCACTACCATTCAGTCATTATGCCGTGTTTCTGGAGCTTTTTGCAGTCATGTGAGACAGAGAACATTTAAGGCCTTAAAATTTTGCCAGGTGGGGTAGCTCCCTTCTGGAATCCCAACTAGCAGAAAGTGGAGATAGGATGTCCCTCTGGACCTAAAAAAAAAAAAAGAAAAGATCCTACCTGAACAATAGACTGAAGAAAAAAGGCCTGGGGTGTGGCTCATGTGTTAAAGCACTTAGTACGAGGACTTAGCACGAGGCCTTGAGTGCATGTGTATATTAATCTACAGCCATTTTTTTTCTTTTATTTATATGTGCATACAATGTTTGGGTCATTTCTGCTCCCCCTTCGCCCCGCCCCCTCCCTTATCCCCCCGCAATCTGTAGTCATTTGCTGTAGTGTTTTTTTAACCATAGCTTTATTTTTGTGATTTGGAGCTGCAGTCCTTTTGCTAGGTGTTGAATGCTTGGCCTGGGAGTCAGAGTGCGTGTGTGAATCTCATTCCGCACCATGAATACCTGCCTGACTTCAGGCAAGGCATTTACCCACTTGGCTTCAGTTTCTTTTTATAACACGGATGATAATAGGATTGCTGTGAGGATTAAGAGATTATTCACAGAAGCACATCTGGCACAGAGAACTCAATAATATGTATTATTACACACAGAGATGATACTAGTGAGGGAGACCTGGCCTGTCGCTGGTGGAGGATTCCTTCCTTGACTGCTTTCCCCAGACTTCATCCTCATGGCTCAAGACATCCACATGTATGCAGCCAGGGTCCAGTGGGGCCTGGTCATGTGCTTCCTGTCTTACTTTGGTACCTTTGCCGTGGAGTTCCGGCATTACCGCTACGAAATTGTGTGTTCTGAGTACCAGGAGAATTTCCTCAGCTTCTCAGAAAGTCTATCAGAAGCTTCTGAATACCAAACCGACCAGGTGTAACCTATCTTTTATCTTTCTGCTGAGGTGGGTGTGACAATGGGGGAGGGGTCAGGCACACTCACAGGACTTGACACACAACCTCATGACATGTTGTACAACACACACACACACACACACACACTCACAGCCACATTTGCCAAATGAGCTTTTCAGGGCGAGTTATTTCTTTAATGAAAAAGCACAAGCCCTTATGTGTCAAAATACACGCTGTTACACTGAAAATATATGCACGACAGAGCCAGAAGCTTGTGCATGGTCACCTCTCCATCCCCACCCCTCCCAGTATGCCTTGCTCTTTTCATCCTCTTCACATTTCAAACATGGTCTCCCTACTACAGAGTAGGGTGGGCCAAATGTAACATGAAAAGAATGCCAACTCCCTAAGTTGCCTTCAGGTCCAAAGGGCTTGGAACTAGCTCACAAGGAGTTGTGAATTTAGCACTCACACCTTGAATGGATAATCAAGCATCACCTGATTGGATGGATGCTGTTTGGAAATGTGACCCCGGGTAGCCCGTGAAAAAGCATGGACAGAACTTTCCTGCCAGGCTCCCTTCATCATTGTTCTTCGTCGGCTGTGTGAATCCACTGAAAGGAAAATGCTTCAAAAGTGTGAGAAGGAAGCACACCATCATGTTTTGGACTTGATTCACTGTGCCTGAGAAAGAGCTCCAAATAAGAATGTTCATGGGGACATGGGATGCCAGGCATGGCACAAGATGGAGACAGCAAGGCAGGGTTTAGTTTTTGCTTCCACAGTATGTCGTATACAGTTTCTGTTTTATATTTCATGGTTTATGTCTTTTTTTAAGTAACTATCATGAGTCTTTCTGAACCTCATGGACAATGATGTTGTAGACCAAAGGCAAGAACTGGCTTTACTTTGGGTTAAAATATGGAAGGAGAAGAAGCAGAAGAAGAAGAAGGAAGAAGAAGAAGAAGAAGAAGAAGAAGAAGAAGAAGAAGAAGAAGAAGAAGAAGAAGAAAAAGGTCACATGTAGGCTGACTTTATGTTTGAAGCTAAGAAAAAGATTCACAGAGAAATATAAAGAAAGCTGCACCTGTGGAAGTAATACAAGGAGCCCCTGCTGGGCACTTAGAAAAGACAGAGTAGAGCACCTTGCAAGTTTAAATCGGGGGAGACTTTTATACATGTATCTGTGGCTAAATTTGGTAGTTTTTGGGTTAAGGGCATTTCAAACTTGGAATTTGTAGAAGCCAATTAAGAAATTAACCTCCTCCTATACTGGCACAACTGGTCCCCTACTAACATGTGGTTCCCACCGCTGAGAGTTGAGAAGTCAGACTATAGGTGTGGGGTTGGTTCAAAGCGTTGCTTACAAAGAACAGAATTCCAAACCCACAGGCCAGCAGCATGCTGGGCCGGATAGACAGAACCCTCAAGGGCACCTGTTCAAGAAATCCCCAGATTTGCTTCACAGGGGCCTGGGATATGGTAGAACATAATGTGAAAAATGTTCTTAAATTCAAAGTCTGAGCTTCCTAAGGAGGGGGGTTGATGTCTGTCCATCTCTGTGTTTATCCCCACTTCCTAGCATAGTGCCTGGCACATATTAGGTGCTCAATAAATATTTGTTGAGTAGAATTATTGAGTAGGATCATTTGTGAATGGGGAAAAAGGAGTGTCAAAGTGAAACTCAAAGATGTGTGTGAGAACAGAAGCTGGCTGCTTCATGTGAGACAGAAAGGGAGGAGGAGGGATAGAATCCCTAAAAGGTATAAGTGGTATGTGAGGCACAGATCCAAGCAGGGAGTGTTCTCCTGTTGAAAAGGCATCTTACTGTAAATAGTCCAAGGTGACATTTATTAGTTTTGAATACTACTTTCGGGTTTCTTTTTTCATTTTTATATTTTGAAGATTTTATCAAAGAACAAAGATTTATGAAGTTTTATTTTAGTCTATATGATCCAAATTAAACAGCTTTTGGTGATGCACTTGTAGACTTTCTTAAGAGTATATCGAGTAGCACATTTTAGCAGAATCAAGCAATGACTAATATTCATTGGGATCTGGTCACTAAATAAAATTCTTTTATGCAGAATTATGACTTGGTTCTTACTAGCATTAACATTTCTTCTCACATACACATATACACACATGTATATTCATATAGATATGTGTATTCATATATATATTCATATAGATAAATGTGCATATATGTATACATATGGCACACGGACTCACTGTGTAGCCCAAGCTGGCCTCAAATTCGTTATCCTCTTACCTTAGCCTCCCAGGTGCTGGGATTACAGGTGTGTACCACTGCATCTGGCTCTTCTCTAATATTGAAGTGGTAAATTATTATGTTGAAAGTATACTTCAATGTTACATTGGTAGGATGTTTTCTATCACCAACAACCAATTCTCTGAACCCCAACTGGGTGCCTACAATTCAACTCTGTTACCCAGAGTCAGCATCAGACTCCACAGGTTTACAACCACCCTTATTTCAGATGCCAGTCACAAATTTGGGGTCCATAGGTTATACTCACCTCTGTCTAAGTTGATTGCAACAATGTGCAATCAACATAATGTAAAACAATTGTTTTCAGGGTTCAGGAAAACATTTTATTTACATTTGCTGGTTTATTGTGAAGGATGCAATTCAGAGTAGCCAAGTGGAAGAGATGCACAGGAAAAGGGAGGGGGAGGCGTGGGGGTTTCTACACCCTCTCTGAATGCCCCATCCTCTAGCACCTCAGAGAGCTCCCCAAAGCTCACTGTTAAGAGGTAACTTTACAGATTGCTATCTCCAGCCCCCACCCCTTCCCTGCGGTCAGTGGGCTGGAGTGCTAAGCACTTGGTCCTACTGATGACCTGTCACCTCCTGAGGTTATCTAGGGGCCCCTAAGTCACCTAAGTCGCCTCAGTAGCATAAACTCTAGTGTGATCAAAGGGGACTCCTGATGATAACACTCCTGTCACTCACTACATTCCAAGGGTTTTAGGAGTTCTGTGCCAGGAATTGGGGACAAAGACTAACTATGTTTTTGCACTGTACCATGTACACGCAAAGAAAAAGCAGGGTCACGGAGCCTTGAGGGAGTTAAGAATCACAGCATTCACACAGGATGCCGCTGGGCACCAGGGAATGTGCATCTGGAATGAGCATGCTTGAATGGCCCAGACAACAAAGTTTCAAAACTACATTTTTAGGTGTCCAACTTAGTCCTTTTTTTAAAAAGTTGTTCTTTAGTTTTGACTAAAAGATTTCTTTATTGATTTAGGATTAGAAAACAAAGCAAGAGGGATGGTAGAGTGGCTCAAGTGGTAGAGTTACTCCCTAGCAAGCATGGGCCCCTGAGTTCAAATTCCAGTACTGCCAAAAAGAAAGAAAGAAAGAAAAGCAAGAACAATGGCTTTAAGATGAGGGGAGCAGAGCAATTCCATCAATAGTGGGAAAAAAACGTTTTGTGACAGTGAAGCAAATTCAGCTGGATGTGGTGGTACACGTCTATAATCCCAGGATTGGGAGGTAGAGGCAGGAGGATCATGAGTTCAAGGCTAGCCCTTAGTCTCAAAAGACCAGACCCCCCCCCCAAAAAAAAGCAAAAAGAAAAAAAAGAAAGAACAGTTTCCGTACTGGTTAGGAGAGAAACATTTAAAAACCAACAATACTATTTAAAGGTTTAATCATTTCTTTATTCAATGGAGAAATGACAGTGAATGCAACTGTTATTATCTGTATTATTTGTTGGGTTTTCTTTATCCCTCATAAGGAAAAGTAAAACTTTCATATCCTGCAATTTGTAATCTTCTAGTTGTAAATGGAACGGGGAACACAACTGTTTATTTGTCCTTAGGCTTTGTGTTAGGATAGCCTAGGTTTTGCTACTCAAGATAAAACTAACAAAACTAGAGTTTATTTCTCATATTCAGTGCTTGTAAACAGGGTCAACCAGGGGCTGCTCATGGCAGTAACTCAGAGCCTGGCTGATCGAGGCTTCATCTCAGGCTTTCACAATTGCTCACAGCCCAGAGCATGTGCCAGACAGCTCACTGGTTTCCAAAGCTTCTGCAGGAGGTGACAGATGTTACTCAGCTTACATTTCATTGGCTAGGCAAAACACATGGCACTGCTACCATGTGCCCAGAATCAGAGAAACATTTGTAAACAACCTGGGGACTATCACAGGAGCCACAGTTTCTTTGATCAGTGTTAAGTCTTGAAGTGGGAGCTCCAGAGTCATTACAGAGCCACCATAATGAAGAAGGGGACAAAGGGGCAAGCATCATGCAATGTCAGTGCTTTTTAGACTTTGCCTAGGATCATAAGCAACACCTCACAATTTGACCACCTTCTACCGATTAACTTGCCTAAACATTTTCTCCACTTGTCTTCCAGAACATTTTGACCATTTAGTCTGCCCCATTCCCCAGTGTCCTTTGCTGGGTCACCTTCTCCCTGACACCCTAACATTGGAGAACCCCGTGGTTCTGACTTCTCACCCATCTATACTCTTTTGGTGACCTCTTGCAGAATTCTAGTTTTAAACATTGCCATGTTCTCCATCCCAGACCTCTATCCTAAATGCCAGACCGATATAGGCAACTATGCTTATGACGTCTCCACTGGGAAGGCATCTCAAATCTAACACACTGATCTTGTCCCTTTAAATCAATCCCTCACATATGGGACTGCCTAAGTCAAAGGCACTCATCTTCCAGTGGTCCAGCCCCATCTCTTTTCTCTCATCCCTTTCCCTTGTTTCTTTCTCTCACACCCTTCTTCTCTATGCAAATCCTCTATGCCCTTCCTTTAAAGTATAATTGGCTGCTGCCACCCTCTGGTCCAAGCCAACCTACAAAAATTGGTCTCTCTGCTCCCATCACTTGCTCCCTTCCACCTGTCCTCAATATAGCAGCCAAAATAATATTGTTAAATGCTAAATTAGAGCTGGGGGCATGATTAAGTGCTAGAGCACCTACCTAGGAAGCATGAGGCCCTGAGTTTAAACCCTAGTACCGTTGTGGGAGGTTGCTAGCTGAGATACGGGACTCTTGAGGCAATTAGCAGAAAGCATCATTTTATTATGCGAGCACAGACTCAGCAGACTCATGTCCAAAAGCTGAGCCCCAAGAACAAAGGGGTCTCATTTTATATACCCTTGCAAGCAGGTTACAGAAGCAAAAAGCAAGGTCTAATACATATATGGTTATATTTAATTTTATTGGCTACTTTACCCTAGTGCTATGTGACTTTCCCCTCCTTGGTGCTATGTGACCTTCCTCATGTTCAGATTTCTCAGGTTTTCTCCCTCTGCTATGTGATTCCTACCTCCCTGCTGCTTTCTCAGGACTCAGGCCTAGTCTGTTTTCTTCTGATCCTCCTCTCTGCTGCATTATTTCCCCCTTTGATGCTCAGGGTCAAAGAGCATCATCTTAATTTAGGGGTCTGTATTTTTATAGCATCATTACATGTACGGCCATTTGTCATCTTTTTCCCAAGCCAAATGGTTTCCCATATTGGTGCCCCCCACAAACATGGCATGAAGTGACATTTAGTGTCTGGGC